ACGGTTTTCTATAGTCTCGTTCTAATTAAACGTTGCATGTTGTATTATGTTCGACACGCGACATGTCCTATTTGTGAAATACAATATTTTATTCGTTGTATTGTAAAAAAATTTTCTTGTGACAAGTTTGGGAAAAATATTCAAATATATCATTAATAATTAATAAGAACAATTTATTATATTTAAAAAATCATCGAAACAAGAAATTCATATTAAAAAAAAAAACATACATTTAAAAAATCTCGATTCTAGAAGTCAAAATAAATACAAAAATTGATGTACAAAGATATCAATTCACGTTTAACGAGCTAGAATTATAAGCAATTGAAGTTTATGTTCATGTATGGAATAATATAAGACGAGGATAGAAAGACGGAGATAAAGTGAGATAGCTTTTATCTTCGTATACCGCCACTGTGCGGCGCTCTATGTTATTCCATCTCCGTCTCCATCTTCGTCCTCAAGACAAACTCAAACCGCGTATAATTTAATAAGTGAAAACCTGAATCGATATTTTGTATTATTATTTAACGACTTTCATATTTATTTTAGTCTCCATCGAATCGATTCTCCTGACATATTCTCTCCCGTGTATATCAACATCCCACTCAACATATAATACATACATCAAAACTTATTTATCATAATTTTATATTATATTTTATAAAAAAGAAAAAAAAAATAACGTCACAATAAATCTTTACGATTAATATCTTCACGAGACAATCTCCTTTCTACAACATTTTTCGTGAAATAAGAAATAAGATCCATAATTATAAAATAATTATTCGACAAATTTAGCGGCGAAACGAATAGAGAAGAGTCACCACTCTCGCGAAATTACCTACGCGAGAGATTTGAAAGAATGATCATCCCATTTCCGAACGGCGCAAATTCCAGGAGAGTCGCGCGGCACGGGAGGCATACCTGATACCCTTTAAACTTTCAGAATCTCGTTAACTCGACACGGTATCCATCTATGCGCCGGGATTCGCGCGGATCCGCTCGCGGCGCGCGCGCGCGCGCGTTGGAATTGCGCCCTCGCAGGAAATTCGTAATTCGGTCGTGTGATCACGCGGGCTTGTTTAATTGAAATATACGCCAACAAAATTGCCCGTCTCTCTTCCCGTCCTATGAAGCAGGATTTAATCTCATTGCCGCCACTAGTCTCGTATTATCCGCGTAACGAGCCGTCGAATGAAACAATTTCGTTTCGCCAAGATGGAATCGCTCCGGGCTTGCTCGCACGCCTCCATATTGAATTTCGTTTAGACGGTGAGACGGTGAGGATACGTTATCTTGTCGTGTTTGTCGTATCACGGGGGGAAAGGGGGAAGGGAGAATAGATATCGATGAATCGATTAACGATTATTCTTGGAGATTGGAGAAGTTAAAATTCGAAAGATTCGAAAAGTGTACAATTTTTAAAAATTTGTGTAGATTTGTTGTAACAGATATATATACGTCATCCTAACAATTAACTATCTTAATTATCTTTAATTATTTAAACGACGAATCACTTTAATTAATAATATATTTTAATAAGTAAATCTTAGACAATATATTTAATATTTTATTTGTATATAATAATAGTATAATAATTTTCTTTTCTTATAATTCTCTTATTTATTTATCATTTCAAAAAAGATTCGAAAAGTATACTTTTTTCAAAAGTTTGTATAGATTTGTTGTAGCAGATATATATTTTTCCTAACAACTATCTTAATTATTTTTAATTATTTAAACGACAAATTATTTTGATTAATAATATATTTTAGTATAAGTAAGTAATTTAATATTAAGTAAATCTTCTTCGTCTTAAACATTTAACATTTTAATTGTATAATAATAATAATATAATAATTTTCTTCTCCTATAGTTCCACAAATATTTTTCTCTTATTTATTTATTATTTCAATTTATCATTATAAAAATACGATTAAACTTACATGCTAAAAAAGAAGAAATAATGCAAATTATAAAGAATTATAAATTCTAATCGCGCCAAATGTTCGAATGACACGCTCGTTCGAGAAAGATTATTCTCATGTTCTTCGCGAACCGGGAGCACAGAAATTTTCAGAATGCAGCAGACCGCGTCGATAGATCGTAACGGTATACGACGCTCGCGCTGTGAATACGCGTGCACCTCGTATCTTTTGTTTTCCAATTCCGAAACGTGGCCATTCTAATGCCCGATTACGAGCGAAGATTGCGTTCGTGCGATTCTTTCGCCCTTTCTTTTTTTTCAATGGTGACGTTACCACCATTACGACTCTCCAACCTCGCTCGTTGTCGTACTCTGGAACAGCACGGCACGCGGCCAAACGTGTTTCCAGAACGTGTGTGTCCATGCTTATTTGGAAACCGTTCGCTCGCCTTGAACTCGCGATAACGAGCGTTAACGCGCTCTCGAAAGTTTTACCGTAATTCGTTCTGGTTAACGATTCTTGGGAATGGATCGTCAAGGTCGTTTAACATAAGAAATTTCGCTTAAAGAGGGAACTTAATACGAAATTTAATGCGCGATTCGAAGGTCGTTTAACTCGTGGAATTTGATATATTTCTGTAATTCTATGTGTATATGTGTGTGTGTGGTTCTGTGCATGATTATACTTTGAATTTAAAGAAAGAAAAAAAAAAAGTTTTTAAGGAAGAAGAAAGAGAATTGAAACGCAAGTGGAATGTCTGATCGATCGGTGATTGATGACTCGAAAGATAAGAAATTCTTGTTATTCGAAACAATTATCGTTTCGACACCATTAACGAGAGTTCGAGCTTTGTTTTACTCATTTGTGGCAGTGGCAAAACGTGGGTAATGGTAACTATTTGCGGAAGGAATTAAGTTACCGAGAAAATTGGATGATAATTTCGTTGTTGCTTGCTAATTGCGTTGGAGAATAATTGGGTGACGAACGATTGCGCTGGAGAACGATTAAATATTGAACGATCGAGTTAGAAACCGACTGAACGGAGTTGATCGTTGATTTAGAGGATGGTTGAATAATAGAATCGTTGAAATCAGAAGATTAAAAATAGTTAATTGACGATGATTAATTAATCGATGATTGGAAAAAGTAATTGAATGCTTTAAAATTGAATCGAGAAGCAAGGAAAACGAAGAATATCAATTAATGATATTCCATAATAGAAAGTAATTGAATAATGCATGCAAAGTTGAATTAGAAAACATTTAAATATGGAATAGTCAAGCGTTGTAAGTTCGAGATAAAAAGTAATCGTACGTATATATTGAATAATTTATTATCGAATCGTTATAATATAAAGTAATAGTCAAGTCAAAGTGAAATGAACATGAGATAAATATTCAAGAAATTGTCATTTATATAAATTGTCATCTAATTCTTTTTTTTAAATACATTTTTCTTCTCTTCCAAATAATATTTAGAAGTTAAAGCAGATGGAACTTAACTCTAATCTCTTAACTCTTTTCTAAAATTTTTTAGACACCATTTGTCGGCGACTCTCGTTGATTAATTAAGTTCGTTAACTGATCGATACACTTTCTGCCCTTCCGTTTCGAAAATACGATCAAAAGTTTAACGAAACCGGAAACGAAAATTCCTTCGGATGATTTACTTTCGGTTAATGGAATCCCGGCAGGTGATGTATTATTCAATTACTTCGAGTAAGTTAATTTATAAGTGTATCCTCTCTTCACACGTTGTTCCGTCGCACAGCAAATATGTCTTCAGTAAATATTTCGTGGCGTGTCTTGGTTTCACCACCCTCGCCTAAATTCATCCCTTCGTTGTCAAAGACGTTCGTTCCATTAACTCCTTCTAATCCATTCTAATCTTTGGTGGCAAGATACGAGAGCGGCAAACTCGCTGATTTTTTGCGTTAATTAAAATACCAGTTTAAATAAGTTGGAACAAGTTTCTTCATCAGCCAGATTTTAACCGGATTAATAAAAGTTGCGACGTGAGACGACTGATTAATCGAGTTTGTACTTCTTATCGTGCTCCACTGCGTAAACCTTGTTTCGAGGACACTTTATCAACCTCCGTGAGAAAGTTGTTATATTAACAACGAATCATTGTTGGAGTTACTCGTGGATAATGAAATTAGAACCAGAACTAAAATTTTAAAGTTTAATATTAATTAACGATTGTTTATGGAATTGTGAAATGTGGAAATTTGATTAGTTATTTAAATTAAATAGAAATTGTTTGTTGTAGAAAATAAAAAAAAATACTAATGTAGAAATTGTAATATTTTTATTTTTTAAATAAAAGAGAAACAACAAATTCTAATTATCCAATTGCAATAAAAGATAATTCTATCGATTTCTTTCGATTGATGATTAAGAAAATTTGTATTTCTATAGATAAATAATATTCTTCCTATTGTTAAGTGATATTACATTTACAATAATTATAAAAATAGCTAAAGAACTTTCTACTAAAATTTCTAAAATTTCTAAAATTTATCTAAGATTTATTACTCACTATTTTCATTTTCTAAAAGAGAATACGAATAATTACGTGATCGAATGTCTTGTTAAAATTTCTCACGTTATAATGAAGATAAAACAACGAAAGATTATTATAATTATCTAAAAGATATATTACTCATCAAGAAAAGAAAACTAAAGAATTTTTGTTGAACAAAATATTCCTTCTTCCGAATCCATGTACTCCATTTTCTAAAAGTATTATACTTGTCAGATATGTCTTCTATCTTATTACTGTCTTCTGTCTGACTCAATATGTTCTTATTCCACTGCTCGCGGAAAAATATTCAATTTGTCGTATTATTTCCCACTTCAAATCCTTCTTTATCAAATTCTTACACAAAAATAATTCATAAAATTTATTTATAAAATTATTTATAATTCAACTTCCAATCATTCGTCACATTATTACAACTTTGAGCTATTTGAATGAATCGAATACGTTAACAATACATTAAAAACGTTAGAAATTTTCATCGAATAATTGTAAAAAGTTTTATCATAAAATTATTTTATTCTTCAGGTGAAACGATGCGGTGATACCCGAGGAACCCCGCCTCAACACCCGTACATATCAATTCATATCTCTGCCCGATAAACATCGCCAAACATCAATCGACCAATCAAACGAAGCATATCGAAACGCAATGAAGAGCCAACGATGATCGAATCGCGGCCAAGGCATATCAGGCGTCGATCAAGCGTGATCGGCCAGACTGTTCAACCCACTCTAT